GAAGGCTGTTTGTTGTCTTGCATTATGGATAGTTAGTGAATGTTTTGGCATGGAAGAAAAACTTAAGTCCCAAATCACATTTACTAAATCTAAATTCAAAGCAACCTAATTACATTTGTAATCCAAAAGCTCTTGACTTGAATAATCCCATGAGACTGAGCCAGCTTTTGTTTCGGCACCAAAAAGTGGAACCAATTCCCCCTTTTTTCCTTTTAGGTTTAGACACCACTGGTGAATACACTAGAAAAATGGCATAAAACTGTCACTGGGGCGGTACCCTAAGGTACAAAAGCTACACTGAAAAAAAAATTGTTGTAGAGACAATTTTCACTCAGAAATTGCACAAAATGAATTACAAAAAAACAAGTGCAAGAAGAACATTGAATGAAATGTGACATTTTGAAGTAGAAAGACTTTTATTTTGTATATTTTGTATATGTATGTATATTTTCCTATAAACATACTCCAGTAATCTTTGCTTTATTTACTATTTCAAAAAATATTTTTTTACAATGTAAACCCTAAATAGTACATATTAGTACCTTAAAAGTACATATTAGTACATAAAGTGTACATATTACAGTAGTAACTTTTAAAACTAACTTTTTAACTAATAGATTTCACCATATTTCCCCTCTTTAAAAAAATGAAATTTATTACATGTATTAAAGATTTTCTGAAATGTTTTCTTTAAATATGCAAATGATTCATTATCTTCCTTATGCACTAAATTCCAGAACAGAAATCTGAACACTGGATAAAGCCAGATTCAAATTTCCTGTTTCTTGTTGTTGACATGTTAGAGTTAAAGGTTTTTAGAGAAGGGATTTTTTTTCTCTTTTTAACACTTCATAAATCAGACAACACTTACAACGGTCAAAAAATTTCACGTTATTTTTAGGAAAAACAAAACGTTATATAAATCAGGTGTGAAACTATTAAAAATGTGTAAAAATGTGTTTATTTCAGCATTATTAATATGCTAATACTGTTTTTAACATTTCACATTAGATTTTATTTTTATATATTTTTTCAATTTGTTGTGTGTATTTATCATTTTAATTATTTTTTTAAGTATATGCAGTTTTTTTAGTTTTATTTTTGAGTTTTTTTTATCATTTTACTACTTAAACTAAACAAAAAAGGAGAAATAAACAGGTAGGAATAAAACTGTAAAGTTTGGTGTTTGTAAGTGCTACTAAAGTGAACACTTCAGGTGCAAATAGATAAAGTATAATACAAATAACACTTAAATTTGTTTTTTGGATGTTTTCTTTCCACTATTTTGAAATGCTATGAAAGCAAAGTAGCCAAAATCTCAAAACTGACCAGTACATAAAAACAATGATTTTGCCTGTAGTGTCTTGCCATAAAACGGTTTGTCCTAAAAGTAAACTCAGGGTCAGATTAATAGATAGACACCCAGTGAGATTATACTCAAGGGTGGAGGAGGAAGCATGCAACATGCAGCCTTGCATAAAGGAAATTCAATTTAGATTATTGCACTGGTCTGTTTTTGCCACCCGTGGGACTAAGGAGCTCGAAAATCACAGACCTTTGCGAGTTTAATAAGGAGCTTTGGTCGACTGCAACATATAATCTCAATGTTGATGAAAAGCACAAATGTGGCGACACGCCCTGAGTTTGTTTGTTCGTTTAATTGTACGAAGCAGCTCACCGCAGGCCCGGGCAGCTCTGTTGTGGAGCCTGAACATGGGAGCTCTCGTTTTGATGTAGCCTTGAGGATTTATTGATAAGCGATTGCTTGTGAAGGCTCATGAAGAGCTGTCTCGTTCGTCAAACGTGCATCCAGCAGAGCCAGCCATTTGATTGGAGCTCAGTGATCTCATAAAGCCTGATTTCTATAAATGGGAAATGGTTCGTCGGTTACCTAATATCTACTTCTGCAGACTTTGATGGAACAGTTGTCTTCGAGACGTTGGCAGTTAGTTTTGGATGCGCGGATGGGGCCTCCTGGGAGTTTTGAGTTTCATTTGCAAATTCTGGATAGTCTACTCAGGGAGGTAATACAGTGTGAAGCAGAGGCTGGTTTCACTTTCTCTGAATCTGCCATAAAAGCAATTTAGCAGCATTTATACTGTAGAATGCATCCATGTAGAGAAATGATTGCACTGTTCTTGGCACACTTTGTCCTCTAATGTCTGGAGATGCTTTTATAGCAACAAGAGGATTTTTCCAGAAGTTTAGATACCTATCAGGTATCCTATCAGATTCACAGTTTTCACTATATACTTGCCCTTTGATTCATAATCTATTGGCAAAAACGGCGTCCTACTTCAAGGAGAGACTGACTATGAAACTCACTATGAGACTCAATATGAATGGAGTAAAAATCATTTCAAAGACTATCTCTATCAGCACATTTTACATTACATTTACATTTTACTTACAATTACAGTTTGCTTTAATAGCTATAACAACCACAAACACTTAAGGAGACATGTAACGTTTCCTTATTATATCCAATAAAACATTTGAAACTGTGCCACTTAAACTATTACCCGAACAAGCCTCTAAAAGGCATCTGTCTTAATCAAGGAGTTTAATGCTGTTTTTATGTCCAGATGGCTTGGCTTTTAAGCTACTATTTTAAATTAAACGGTAATTTATTGGTGCTTGTGAAGACAACCATCACTGTTATTGTTGCTCATACTTACGGTTAAGGATTTGAACCAGCTTTAATTCTAAGTATTAAACTTTGGAATAATTCGCACCATTTATGCGACGGCATGAGAAATGGGTTAAGAAAATTAACATGGTAGATTTAAGACCTAACTGCGTTAAATCTACAGTAGTCCAATTCCGTGTCACGTCTGAGGTGGTCAAAATGAGGAAATCTGATCGGAAACATTTTGTTTTCTGCATTAAATTTGCATCCATTTAGTAGCCATTCCAGCGTGTGTAACGTCTCAGAGATTCTGCCAGCAAACCCATCCAGTTGACATATCAATCAGAGCAGTTAGACTTTTACTCAATTAAGTGGTGACACTAAGCAACTGGAAATCTAATCTATTTCGCATTAGACTGTTTCTTTGTTAATGCTTTGTCCAGTGCATCCGACAGGCCTTGTCTCACCGTGCCAGAGCCATCTAAGATGTGTATTCTTCAAAGCGGGCTGGTCTAACTTTCCATCTTTAATCTGAATCACATGAGAATCGGATTATGATTCTGACAGTTCTTAAAGCATGTGTTATGCTCTTTGTGGGTTATTTTATGATTTAGAGCATTGCATATTGTCTACATATAAATGAATGATGAAATACATATGAATTTTCTCTTTTGTGAGTCACAGTGATGTTTGAAGGAAAACAGTGTTCCAAGAACTGTAGAAGCTTGGCTTGTTCATGTGGGTTCGTTGGGATACAGAATTTCTTAAAAAGGTATAAAGTGCAAATTAATCAAATCCATTTATGGCCTTATGACCTCAGAGGTGGCATTTTACTGAGGAAAAAAAATAGTGAATTGTTTCTCTATATAGTGTTTTATCCTTTGATCAAGATAATTACCAGAAAACAGATCCCAAATAAAGCACATTTTATGCATTAGCCTGTTCTCGTTCAGTCAGTCTGAACATGTTTTACAACTTAAAAGATTTTACACAAAGGTCTTTTGATTCAACTACAGCACATTGGGAAAAGGACCATTAAAATGAGCAATCAACAAATTCTTCAGAAATGCCAAGGATTTCCATTTACAACTCTCAGTCCTTAGATAATCAGAAAATGTTGTAAATTATAGGCTAGTCTATAATCCATTAATACCCTTTTCATGCTTAAATGTTAAGTGTCAGATATAAAGTGGAAAACATGAGTAGTGATGTATAGTTTGGTATTAGCATCAGAAGGGCGTTGATGCCCATAGGCAAGTTTGAGCAACAGAGCATCAGATAAGATCAATGACTAAACATGTCCTAAAAAAAATAAAAATAAAATATTTGGGGTATAAAGTGCAAATTAATCAAATCCATTTATGGCCTTATGACCTCAGAGGTGGCATTTTACTGAGGAAAAAAAATAGTGAATTGTTTCTCTATATAGTGTTTTATCCTTTGATCAAGATAATTACCAGAAAACAGATCCCAAATAAAGCACATTTTATGCATTAGCCTGTTCTCGTTCAGTCAGTCTGAACATGTTTTACAACTTAAAAGATTTTACACAAAGGTCTTTTGATTCAACTACAGCACATTGGGAAAAGGACCATTAAAATGAGCAATCAACAAATTCTTCAGAAATGCCAAGGATTTCCATTTACAACTCTCAGTCCTTAGATAATCAGAAAATGTTGTAAATTATAGGCTAGTCTATAATCCATTAATACCCTTTTCATGCTTAAATGTTAAGTGTCAGATATAAAGTGGAAAACATGAGTAGTGATGTATAGTTTGGTATTAGCATCAGAAGGGCGTTGATGCCCATAGGCAAGTTTGAGCAACAGAGCATCAGATAAGATCAATGACATAAAACTGTCCTAAAAAAAAAAAAAAAAAAAATATTTGGCATATTTGATGCAGACCCCGCCCCCCATCCTAAATATGCCAGTTTCTTTTTCTTTAGGTATTAAACAGAACTGCAGAATAACGCTATTGATTTTAGATGAATGCATTCAGTTAACTATTTGAAGAACGTAAAAAAACGAAAACAAATAACAAATACAGTTTAAGAGAAATGCACACAAAATATCTTAATTTAATTATATTATTATTAAAATAAGCTAGATTTAGATCTACATTTCTTATTATTTATATATTTTAGAAACTTAATAAAGAAAAGAACTGTAGAAAAATACTGAAACACGGTCATCATTTATCTATAATTAATTATTCTGCATCATCAGAGATTTAATCCAAAACGCAGCGTGTGGAGAACGGAGGGCAGACGTATTCCCCGCCCCCTCATGAATAATGTGCAATAACCCCGCCCCCAAGCGCAGAAGCTGTAGCAGAGCACCCGTATGCGCACGGCGTCTTCATATGATACCAGAATCGCGTCGCTAAAGTTGATAGATACGCTGGTCCTTCCGTCTGCAGCTGCACTCTTGATTTATAGTGATCTTCTGATCACAAATCCTTTACATTTGCTACGTGCTGACCGGTACGCACGAAAACCAGGAGTTACTGTTTAATAGGAAAGGAAAACCGAAGGACGAAGCGTTTACACTGGGCGAAGGTGTTCTTCATCTCCAGCGCTTCCCACTATACGGACACCAGCGCGAAAGAGCAGCAGATCCTCATCCACACGACTGCATATCAGCGTAACGGGTAGGTCCAGTCTCCAAATGACTACATAATATAACATCCAGCGTGTTGACGTGAAATGGGCGATGGTTACGCGTCGTTTCCGAGCGGCGTTCATCGTATTTAATGAATCAATGAACCATCCTATTTATTTACAACGTTATGAGTAACGGCGGAGTGCTGGGTAGACAGACTTTCAGCTCCAATGTCTCTCCTTTGAAATGCTTGCATGTACCTCCCATAGCCGGAGATACAGTTGGGTCTTATTTGGCAACAGTGTTGCGCGTGCAGTGTATGGCACAGACGCATGGCAGGTTTGGTGCGTGCATTGTTTTAGTAATTAATTAATTATATAATTGATTGTATTATGCATGCATATATATGTAACACTGTACATACATATATGTAATAAAATATATGAACTATTATATAACCACACACACAAACACACACACACACACACACACATACATATATGTTAATGTTTGTTTAAATACCCTAATATTACATAGGGTCCTGGTAAGCCCTGATTTGTTATCATGCAGAGAATGTGTTTGTATCTCATTGGACTTTGGGGGTGGGAAACCCTCCTTATGAGCAGCCCTTCATTATTGCATGCATTTATTGTGTATGCATGCAAAATAAATACGGGGAATGGAACAGCACTATTCCTTCTCCATCAGCATTGACTGGGGCACAATGTGGGAATTCAGTTCACAACTGTGTATTTACATTCTTGGCCATGTCATCTTTAGATCACTCATTGGCTTTCATGCAGCAGATCACCTGCTTTACTACCACCCTAATGTTAAGGAGTCTTTGCCAGGTGTGGCGCCACACTTTTGAACTTGAGTGCCAAAGAATTTACCTAAACTTATCATTGGCTCATAAGCACATCCTGATGATGGCCCCTTGATTGTGGTTTTTAATGTAATATCCTAATTCCAACAAAGGCTTTTAATTTTATACCTCATGTGAGTGTCGTTTATGTCTTCATAGACTGTTATCCCTTCTTCAGAGAGACTTTGCATTGATGCATAATCCAAAATGATCCCTAAAAATAGGTGTGGTAATGGTCATACACACGTTCTTAGAAGTGATTAGCATGCTTAATATTAATTTCTACGTGATTGGCTGTCCATAATAGCAGCTGTGGTGAAGTGATTAGGGATTTCCATGTGCCGTCTGGGTTTTGGGGGCTTGAGACTTTTCCACAGAAAATCATCTCAGCTGTGTCTCAACACCGGCAACCACAATGAGAAATGTCTTCCCTGGTCTGGGGGCATCAGCTGAGAAAATCACCCAATCGTAATTAAACGCAGCAAATTGATTCACCGGCTGGCCAGTGTTTGTGTGTGTGTGTGAGCGTGTGAGTGAGCGAGCGCAGGATGAATAGGCCCAGGGGTCCTTAACTAAACACCAGTGAAGTAGGAGGAACTTTTGCTCTTGTTTTGGAGAGAAGAGGTATTTGACAGGTATATTTTCTCATACGCCGCATTTTAACCGCAAGACAAGTCAAATTCAATTCAAAATTGAAGGAAGCATGAAGGGCCGGGAGGAATTGATAGATTTGACACAGTTTAAATTGGTTTTCCCAAAGTTAATTTCAGACCGTGTTGTTTTGACCTCAGACGACAAATAGTGTTGCCACATTTCAGATCAAATCTTGATTCGTCTTTCATAACTTCCTTTTACACAACTGAAGAAGAATTCTCTGAAGCTCTTGAAACCTAGCAGCCATTCAAGCATGCTAGAATTTGTTCTGCGCTCTCGACTGCAGTCTTGTTTATGTTGAATGTCTCGTACGGTGATCTATGGGGAAATTTTGGCGTAATCTCATTCTCATAATTTAAAATGAGCATCCTGCGTCATCTGCTAGTTATTCGAGTATCAGACAGGAGGGTCCGTCACCAAGGCCCAGCACCAAGTCACCAAGTCACCACAAAGCCCAGCATGCCAGGTGTTGCTCTTTAACATTTGTCCCTTTGAAGCTTCTGCACCCCTATGGGGACCTTTTATGGGGTCTGTTTTCGGCCTTTTTGCTGCACTTGGCCAGGCATACATTGCTTCTTGACATATGAACGTAGCCAGGATGCTAGTTGGATGCGGGTTTGAAAATACCCCCCTATGAGCTTTTATTGTATATTTGTGAGGACCTATGAAATCCATATTAATTTTCCCCAAATTCTGTGTTTTCTTTTTTTAAGTTTTCTGGATTCCTTTTTAATGGTTTAATACATTTTAATAATCAAAAAGGATGCCAAATCAATTAAATTCATAGAACTTTAACAATTTAATATTTTAAATTTTTTAACATTACTAGTATGCTATGAAATGTTTTATTTTTTCAGAAATTCTGAATTCTTTGTTTTAATACAAATACTTCTGTCTAAAATTACAATATTATCAAAAACAATGGTGATCAAATGAATGCATAAAACATTAACAGCTTAATTACTAATCTTCTGAAATATCAAATGAAATTATTACAAGTTATTTTAATTTTGAAAAAAAAAGGAGACTGGTACAACAGAGGTTTGCTTTTTAAATAATACCCAGATGAAAAATTCTAATATTCCTTAAAAACACAATTGTTATTACTTTGAGCAGTACATTATACTATACAATATTAATATATTGTTATTATAATTTCTTCAAGTTAAACCAAACTTTTATTTTGCTGGGTTGTAAGTGAAGACCGTTGAGTGTATCTGATTATAGTTTTATCAAATAAAATATAGTGACACGCAGAACATGCAGGCTTTTTGTGGTTTAATGTTCGTAGTCTGTGGTCCATATAAAAAATGTATTAAGTGTACAGCCCTGCTTTTGATTTATTCATCAAAATTTTGCCAAATTTTTATGACTGGAATTTGCAAATCCATCTTATTTTCCACATTTTAGAAATCAAAGGGCCCTATATTTGTGTGTATGTGGGCTAACACACAATGGGCCTCATTTATAAAGCGTGCGTACGCTCAGATTTGATCTTAGAGAGTGCGTACGCTTAAAGGGTTAGTTCACCCAAAAATGAAAATTCTGTCATTAATTACTCACCCTCATGTCGTTCTAAACCCGTAAGACCTCCGTTCGTCTTCGGAACACAAATTAAGATATTTTTGATGGAATCTGAGAGCTCTCTGACCCTCCTATAGACAGCAATGTAATTACCAGGATCAAGGTCCAGAAACGTAGCAAGGAGATCGGTAAAATAACCTATGTGAGCATGTATGTATATATATATATATCACATTGTCTCAATAGAATGAGTGTAAATACTTCAAAATTCCAATATGACAGTATGGTTGCTTCACTTTTTATGACATAAGACCTCCGTTCATCTTCGGAACACAAATTAAGATATGTTTGATGAATTCTGAGAGCTCTCTGACCCTCCCATAGACAGCAATGTAATTACCACGATCAAGGTCCAGAAACGTAGCAAGGAGATCGGTAAATAATCCATGTGACATCAGGGGTTCAACCGTAATTTTACGAAGCTACGAGAATACTTTTTGTACGCAAAGAAAACAAAAATAACGACTTTATTCAACAATTCGTATCCTCCGCGTCACCCTGGTGCCATTTTGGAGAGTATCCACTGAACGCAAACAGCGTATGCTATTCTGTATCAGCTGTGCCACGCAGATAAGTTTTCTACGTTGTTTACGCTTTGATTTGAACGAAGACAACGTATCCGCGTGGTGCGGCTGACACGGAATAGCAATATTCTGTACGTATGTTTATTTTATGAATCACCCATACACATATTTGAGAGATGATCATAAGATCAATTTTAGAATGGTTTCTGCGCAACATTTTATAAATGAGGCCCAATATGTCTGGAGTTCATCAAAAAGGCGGAGTCTGCAAATGTAAGTCGGGTTCTGTGAAACAGAAGGCCTGTGGTGAATAGATTGAGTTTGGTCCCTCAATTTTTGCTCTCTAGACCAGGGTCACCTTAATTATGCGAGAAGCAGCAGATGTAGGGCAGCTTAGTGTGGTGTGCAGCTGTAGAAACCCACGGTGATTTAAACACGTTGAAATGTCTTGCCTCATCTACTGTCGTGTTAATTTTTGCTTTTAAGTATCATGTTTTGTTTCCCTTATATGTCTTACTCCCCTCACTCAGCCAGGCATTAGGCTATTTTTAAAATTCCCTACTTGGTTTTGGGGGTTTAATCATCAAAATGACTTTCTGATGCCTGAAAGATTCAGTCATCACCCTTATCAGGATCCTCAATGATGTCTATCTTAGCCAGCCAGAAACAATGCTGAAAATAGAATGGTTTGATACCAGACACGTCTTTTCCAGTAGACTGTGTTTCCTATGGTCTGTTGTTTGGAAAAGCTAGACTCGCTCCCAAACTTGCTGGTATTTATGTTGGTTCCTTGTGATTTAGATGCTCTGCCTTTCATCAACATCACATTGGGGTTTTGGGATCAGATTTTGCAGTGCAGGTGGGTTTCGTCTTATCACCAACCTGATCCTGAAGAACCTGAACTCCCGGGGTGCCTGAGGTCTGTCTTCAGACCCTTATTTTCTCATTTCTCTCATACATTCCTGTGGGCATGATTTAATTAACCTATTTGTAACCGCTCTCTCTGATATCAGCAATGAAGCTGCAAAGTGACTGAGGAAGTCTGGCTCATCAAACGTCAGGGCCAGCCTGCAGATTCTGTGTTTGTTTTGGCTCACTGCCGTGCCATTGTCTTCTGTCAGTTTATCCCAGCGTTCAGGCCAGCGTTGGTTAGTTTGTTCCATAGAGACCAGGCAAACGGGAGTTTTCATTAAGAAAACATCTCGATTATTTTGTTCCTAGATCATACCCAGGACACTTCCTGAGACGGTGTGTTTATGTTAGTCAGGGATACATAAAAACTCTCATGATGACGTTTGTATACAGTAGTGCTTGATAAAGCTCAACTCATTGACATCCCCAAGGCTTTGTTTTTTGGTTTGGCTGTTGTTTAGTTGTCTTGGTGTTAGATAATTAATTTTTGTTGTTTTGTGCAATGTTGCA